CCTCATCATAATGACTCCTGGTTAACTGAGCACTTTTAAGAGCAGTGTTAGTCACAGAAGGACACACGCTGATGACTTTGGGATGCATAGATGTGTGCAAATTAAAAAAAATACAGAAACTCAGAATACAGGTTATTATTTCGCTTACAGAGATTTCTCATTGTATGTTACATGCCTTCCTAATTACATACATTGGCTTCCTTTTTCATTAGCAGTAACTGTCACCTCCTCGTTTCTCATTTAAAAGGTTCTCTGGAAGCAAGGCCACCAGAGAATACTTGTACCTCAGAGGTCCACAGCTCTCAAAATGTTACAGCAGAGCCACAGCACCGAGGTATAAACTATTTTTTGTAAAGTGCAACCAAAGGAAAAACATCAAAAAAACATCATGTAGGAAAACATCAAAAGCAATGTAAAAGATCATAATTTTTAACGACATTTGTCCCATTCCATACTGGACTTTACTTGTCTCTAGCTAAGGAGTCATCCCTGTACCTACAGCACAGAGTGAGTGCCACCTCAGCAGCTCTAGTGAAAAGTACCAGAAGCTTGTGTTTTTACAGTTAACTTTTCCGGGTCATATACACAAAAGCCAGATTTCAACTCAGGACATTTAAATTGTAAAGTCTGGAACATCAGAAAGCAAAAAAGTGCAGAACATATGAAGAAAGACAAGACCCCAAAGCACATGGGCCATGGAGCAACCGTTTGTCTGAGGTTTGTGAATGGTGTCGGTGTCACCCGTGCCCAGTCTGCTCCTGCCTTGTTTGCACAAGCAGGACTCACTCATACTTCTGAAATAAGCCCACTCATGTTGAAAACATCTGATCACTTCTTCCCACTCCAAAAAAATAAACCTGGAAGGCCCTAAAACCACCTGCTGATCAGCAAAAGGACGCCCATACTCCAGGATTGTGTTCTCTGATCTTTCCAACCTGGGCAGAGCTAAACAACCAGGATTTCAAAATCAAGACACAGACCAGCACAAATTTTCTATCCTCTTCGTGATATTCAGGTGAAGGGAGAGAAAGTGCTTGCAAGACCTTTGCTACACAGGCCACAGCGCGAGACTATTTGGAGAAGCTGGAGAGCCACCACAGGTGAAGAAGCAGTGAGATCTTCTCCCTTTACCTCCTCCACACAGACAATTAAAAATCACAGGCTGAGTCTCACATTTTCAGTTGACAACTAAATACACTTTATTCTTAATAAAAACACTCACAGAAACCTTAAAGGAGACTGAAATTATTTGAAATCATTTGTGGCATATTACAAAATAGTTCATTTTATTGAATTGCCATGATGAAAATTATTTTTACATCGAATGTATTTAAGGAATTTAAAATAAAACCCCAGATTAATGCTCTTTCTTGTCGTCATCATCATGATGTCTCTTCAAGTCCATCTGAACAGAGCTATACCACACCTGACAAACTGAGCTGATTCTTGAGTATTCTTGTATAGGATCATATTAATCAAATTATCTTAACAAAACCACTACCTTACAGAATGTTAAATATTCCAACTTTGAAGTCAGTAGAAAATGAGAATTATATTAGCCAGAAGTCACATTATCTGCCAGTCACAAGAACAGGAAGTTTTCCGAAAGGATTCTCATTGCTAAGTAGAGTATTACCATGTTCCCAGGGCTGAGTTTCAACACACTTGAGGGGATCCCATCAAATACTCAATTTGATTCATGTCAGTTGTAAAATTGTACAGAAACAGGTTTGTAATGTATTTTTAGTATTTGGCTTAGGTTGTGCCGTGAATAACTGATCCATTTTTGAGTGTACTCTTTTAGAAAAAAAATAATTTTACAAAACAATTGGAAATTTTCCTCCAGAAGCCTCCCAGAGCAGGAAGCAGCATTACTACGGCAGGTTTGAGATGTGTGCTGCTTGAAACATGTGGCTGAGGCCCTGCAGGTGATGGCAGCTCACTATAATTGTTCCATTACGCTTATGGTAGAGCCCTCTTATAGAAACATGGACTTTCCATCCATTGGAACATTGCAGCAAACATAAACCATTTAGAAACAAAATGCCCCTTTTCTTGCCTGCTATAAGATAAATCCGTGTTTAAAATGCTTTAACTGACCACCCCTCAAAATAAAAACCCGAATAAAACTGCATATGCTTTTTCCTCACTGTAACACTTTCTTACAGTTTTCAATCGCACAGAAAAAGTCTTCAAGAAAAATATTTGGACATTGTGAAGACCCACGGACAAACTGTATTTTGAACCTTAGGTGAAAAGGAAGAATTTCCTTAACAAATACCCTCGATAAACGCAATAATGCCCTGCTCCTGTACGCTCACACGGATGCTGCCAGTCTGGCCTACGATGCTGTGGGGCACTCCAGGTTCCCTCCAAACAGGGTCAACTCCTTCTCCTGATTTCCCATGTCCCGGTCTCTCCCTTCCTCGGGAAAAGCAGCCAACAAGCTGCAGTGTGGGAACCGGCCACGTTATTATCCGCAGGGGAGCTCGCCCCATCTTCTTCCAACAGGAAGAGCCAACAGCTCATCGCTGCTCCTGCCACAGCGGGAAGGAGCCCCGCAGTTACGGGAAGGGCTGAAATGGGGTTGGAGCTGAGCTGACAGCGGGGGCTCGGGGAGAGCTGCTGGGGGAAAGTGAGGAAGGGCACGGGGAGCTGAGGATGAGGAGTGTGCACCAGGGAAGTGATGTCTCTCACAGCACGGCTCTTCACTCCGTGCACTTCGGGCACCGACAGCTATCAGCTGGCAAGCGTGCACACAGCGGCCGGGCAGGAGGAAATCACAATCCCGACAGACAAACCCACCATATAATCTTTTATTATAATCTCATTTACTCCATGGCCCGACTCTCGGCTCTCGGAGCCGGCCGGGTTCGCAGCACTGCCCCGGGTCGGGGTCACCGGCTGCTGCTGCTCCGTGATCCCGCGCCCCATCGGGCCAACCGCCGGCCCCTCCGTCCCGCGGGCACCCAGCGGGGCCAGGGCTCCGCACCCCCACGGGCCTAAGGGTTTAAGGAACGAACTCCACCCGGGCTCCCCTTCCCGAGGGCCGGGGCGAGCCGCCCCCCCCGGCTGACACACGGGGGGGCAGACCCAGGGATGGGGACACCACCGGGAAAAGAGGCGGCGGGTCCCGCTCCCCACCAGCCCCCCCTCCCCGCGCACTCTTGGCGTTTACGTTCACTTCGGCTTAAAAAAAAAGTAGTTGAAGAGTGGGAACCCGGCCCGCGGTCGGAGAGATCCGACGCCGCTCCGCCACCCTCGCCAGAGCCCCCCCGGCCGCCGCAGGCCG